ACACACACACACACACACACACACAAAGAAAATCACCAATAATCTCAAAACAAACAGAAAAGCCAGCACCCAGTACCTGTCAGGGACCAAGAAGGGGAACTCTAGCTCAGTGAGGCATCTCCCCCTTATGACACTGGGGATGAGGACCCAGACTCCCTGTGGCACCAGGATTGGGGACCCAGGCTCCCTATGGTTCTAGGGATGGGGGCCCTGCTCCACGTGGTGCTGTTGATAGAGGCCCAGATCCCCCTGGAACTGAGGATGGGGACCCAAGTTCTTCTTCTTGTTGGCATTGGGACCCAAGCTTCCTATGATGCTGGTAATGAAAGCATGGACTCCTCATGATGCTGGTGATGGGCAGGTGATGATAGTTTCTAGACTGAGTGCAGAAAAGAGCGAAGTCCTCATTTGACTCTGTTCCTGAAGAAGCCTTCTTGATCTAAGGATAAGACCTACCAAGGTGGCAGAGGGAGAAAAGGCCTTTCTTCCAGATGGCAGCTTTCACAGAGGCCGTGCCTCTCCCAGTGCTGTAGAAAGTTGGCCCTAGATGTCCTCAGTGTCTTCTCATATCCTGGGTGGACTCGGGGAGCTGAACATAGATGGAAGTGTTGTTGTTCACCAGTCCTCAGAGCAGCATCAGGGGAGGTGCCCAGGCCTGGGTGAACCAGGAAATCAGAAACAGTGGTTTCTCTCACTGGGATAAAACACTAACCATTTGGGGAGGGCTAAAGCACACAATCTGGGGAAGGCTAGGAAGAGATGGCATGACCCATGCTGGCTAAAGGCTCTCCAGTGTGCATACCCTCAGGCCATACATACACCTCAGCAACCCCTCAGTTATCTCAGTAAGTAAGCTCAATAAATTCATTGGTTCCCAAGTAAAACTTTAATCAAACGTTGGCTTGACATTAGAACCTTAAAAGGGAATAAACATTGCTTAGCATCCTCAGGAAAAGAAGTCTCACAAGAGATGGAAAATTTATTTGTTAATGCTATTATGTCGTCTCCTAATTATTAAAAAAGAAAACAAGAATGTAAAAGATGTTAAAATGATGTGGGAATGGAGATATTTTCCAAAATAGAAAAAACGAGAAAGCCTTAGCAAGTGATGAAGGTCTGTGTAGGTTTGTTATGATATATAAAGGATGAAACAAAAATAATATACACATAATCTTAAAATTTCTAAGGTCATAGTTTAATCAACTAGTTTAAGGAACAAAATATATATATAGTCAAGGTTTATCAGAGAATTATTTGGTTTTTTTACTCAAGCGTTATCTACATAGCACATGGTAATTCAAAGTACCAGACTGGTGGAACTAACCTTATTGGATGTTTAACAGCCACCCTTTGAGGTCCATACTAATCTGGTCAGAGGAACTTAAAGGACAGTTTTTGCTCTGTTCTGACTTTTTTCTAGTTCCCTGTATAGAACTTGTAATGCTAATTACTATTGCCTTTACTTCTCCTTCACAGCTCCTATTCACGATTCAAGGGCTTTCTTTTCCCCCTAGAGACAAGAGTTATGCAATTTGGGAGTCTTTTAGATAGACACACTGAAGGGGTACCAATTGCCTCACCCTGCATCCCTGTTCAGCATGGAAGAAGCCAGAGTGGTCTGCGTCCCGATTTCCTATCTGCAAGTTGGGTAACCTCTTCAGAGGACGGTGTGATAAGAATAGGAGGTAGGAACTGGCTAGGCAGTTAGGGTAAAAAGACCCCAAAGAAAAGTAGCCAATTTTTTGGCTAAAACTCACAATGTCCTTGGGCCTCTTAGCAATCATACTCAGTTCCAAAGGCCAAAAATGTCAAAAGTATTTGGGAGCTTTCACCTAATCTTTAAAAGATTTTAGGGTTACCTCTTGGGGGGGGGGATGTTAGAGTAGCAAAAAGCCCCATTAAAAAAAAAAGGAGAAAGAGTACATATGAAGTTATCAGAAAAAAGTGATGGGGAGATATGGGAGGAGTTGGAGGGGAAGGAGTGGGCATGGACTTGATCAAAACACCTTATATGCATGTATAAAATTTTCAATAAATTATTTTAAAAAAAGAAAAGATCTGTCAACAAGGAATGCAACTAAGAAGGTATTCTGGGAAATTTCCAGGATATACATTATTACATAACTGAGTTACCTATTAATAAATAACTCCGTCAATTAAGGAAAGATCCTATAGTTTTTTTAACGATATGAAGCTGTCTATTATAAAAGGAAAAGTCATTGAACCAATAATATTTTATAAGAAGCAAAGTTAATAATGAAATTTCATGGGTTCAAAAGTTCAACTTTGTTTCTATTTTAATTTCTCCAATGTAGAAAATCAAAGTACAATTCTATATAGTAGCACATGAAAACCAGGATGCATATAAACAAAATATCCTCGACCACATCCTGCCCTGTTTTCCCCACTTCTCCAGCTATGACTAAGAATGGGAAACATGGGAAAAAAGACACTGCCTGACTTACTGTGCAACCTACATCTACGGCAGCAGCTACAGGAAATGACAGCAGAGGCTGGAGGCTTTTTCCCTTCTCCTTCCTCTAAAACAGAAGACAGCTTTTCACTTGGAAAATGAAGACTCCTTCAAGAGCAGGGTTCACTGTGGGGTTACTCACAGCCATCCAAGAGAACAGAAATATGCTTACTTATATTCAACTAATAATACTTCATTGTAACTATTATTCTGTTTTAAATTTTGATGAAGCAACAAGCTACAAATGACCAGGAAAGTCTCTTTAGTTAAGACTTAGAAGAATACTATAGTTTGTTTTAAGAATTCTCTGAGTACTAAATCATCACTGACTCTTTTCATCAGTTCCTACTGGTGTCACTAAGTTAATGCTTAACTGGTTTAACGTCTTCACTAAATGGCCCGATCCTAAAGAGCAAAATACAGACTTAATATAAACTTTTCCTCTTATCCCTAGGAAATAAAACACATTTTCAAAGAAGTTATTCGACTCATTTGGTCACATACAAGAAAATATGATTAAAGACACAATGGTGAATGTCAAAGATAATTCATCAAAAAAAATGATCATGTAATGGTTTTCTATTAATAACTGGCTTATTATGAAACTCATTAAAGCTCTCACATCTTGTAAGATGTGAAAAATAAAACAAGGAACTACAGAATGATCTACTACTTTGACCAGAGACACATAGTGAATGCTCAAAGAGTAAACAAACACATGATAAGATTTTATAATTAGAGAAATTAATGTTATGGATCGCCAGACACGTAAATCTGAGAAAATGCAATAAACTTTTCTTCAGTGTTAATTATGATCCTTCCCTCACAAATGAGTGTTTCATGACAGCTTTCGACTTAACTGTGCTATTTCGACAAAAGCAGCATCTATGCTAGGGTGGATTTAAAGTCAAGATATAGTAATGAAAGTAACAATGAAAAATTCCACTTGTAATGAAAACTCTGGCATTTAAAATTCAAGCCACAAAAACTGATGAATCTCAGATCAGAAAGGACACAAAGTTCAGTCATGGTAAAACTCTTAATTGAGAACTTCAGTGTTCTTGTCACACCCCAAGAGGGTAGCTTTCCTTCTTTTTTCTTCATATCTCTTATTTTTTCACATAAGGGACTACTGTTTCATTGTTTTTCTGATCCCAATCTAATACGCCAAACATCACAGCCTCTTACACTGCACATCACAAAATTAAATCTTCGGGTTTACATACTGAAACACTCAACGAAATAAATCTGAATGCCCACTGCCCAGAACACCTTAAGGATTCTCTAACTAGCAGTTAGGTGGCTCTACAGTAATTAAATTTCTTAAGATCTGAATACACACGTTCATTTTACTCTCGCTTCCCTTCAGTGGTAAGGCTAAGTAGGCCTTTATTGTCCTTTTAAAAAAAAAAAAAGATAGTCTTTTCGATCATTAGGGCAGGCACACGAGTGTCACTTCTTGCATATATGAACCCCTCAACACCGAGGACCCCTCACCCCAGAGTCCCAGGGCAGGTAGAACACTGCCGGGGGTCCACGCGACCGGACCGGGCTGCCCAGCCCCGGCTCCTGGCTCTCCCCTTCCCGCCCCGAGTCAGCCCTTCCCACTCATCCCGAGGAGACGGTTCCGTCGCTACAAGCTCGGGACGGCCTGGCCACGCAGGCGGGTGCAGCCTCCTCCCTCGGGGTACCGGCTTGCGTCCGGCCGCCCAGCCCACCTCAGCTGGGCACCCCTCCCCCTCCCGATCCGCCCGAACCGAGCCGAGCCGACGGAGACCGCCTCCCGCCGGACTTCAGGCTCGCCGGTAGCTGGAACCGCCCGCCGCCACCCGCCCGCCAGTCCTCGAGGAGCCGCGGGACCCACCTCGAAGAGCTCGGCCGTCGTGGCCATGCCGGTCGTCTGAGAAGCTCGCCCCGCGGTGGAGGCCGTCTCCGCTTCACATGCTGCGCCTCAGCGGCGCGCTGCACACGTCTCCTCTGCCTGCGGGCTCTGGCTCCGGCCGCTGGCCGCCGCGAGCTCCCCAGATCCTCACACAGCCCAGGCGGGGCGAGAGAGCCGCCATGAAGCGAAGCCGCAGACGCCTGTCAGCTGCCTCCCGGCGCCGCCCGCGCCGCTCCCATTGTCACCGCCTCGCACGCCGGAAGTGGAGCTGCGCGCGCCCGCCCGGCCTAGCGGACCCAGGCGGGGGTGCGAGAAGAGCGCGAGGCTGGCGGACCGCGGAGGCGCTTGTTGCCCCAGCGAGTGAAGAGCCTTGAGCCTCGCGGGCCACCATCCCGGAAGTAGAAACTGGAGGAAGAAAGCACTGGGCTCCCAGCCCCTCAAGGTTCCTGCTGCGGGTTCTTAGAACTTTTTAAGACAAATCGACCTGGAGGGACTGAGATATTTTTATCACCTTACCGGAAAGAGCTACCTTCTCTGGTGAGCCCGAGCAGCGCCGGGTGAACGACAAGTCTTTTAAAGGTCGGCTCTGTTGCTCGGCGGCGTCCTGAATTTCTGCCATGATCTGACTGGGTGGCTTACCATGGCCCAGCGGGCGGTGTGGCTCATACGCCACGAACCAGGAACTTCGTTTGGTGGCACCGTCAGATTCTCCAGGTAATTCCAAGTCCAACTCCTCAGGGATGAAGACTACTAGGATGGGTAATGTAGCATAGTTTTGTGGTGCCACGACTAACTAGCTGAGTGACCTCTGGGCGAGTTACTTAACTCCCATATGGTATAACCTTTTCTTACAGTGTTGTCAGAAGTGATGAGTTGCTTGACACATATTGTTTTCTGTTACTAGTATAGTATTTTTAAAAACAGGTTCCCACTATGTAGCCCCTGGATGGCCTTGAATTCGCTAGGGAGACCAGGCAAGTCTCGAACTCAGAGATCCAAGTATTTTAAAGACTTGGACCATCATGCCCAGCCGTATTATTGTATCTTAAAAGGAATTCCGTCTGCTTAGGATTGCTACAGAAATGATGAGGAAGAAAAAAACTTACTAAGCACTAAACATGTGTCAGATTTTTCAACTTTTATTTGGCAAAGTTATTCCAGAATATTTACATTCATTTGTCTGAAAAAAAACCCTTGCCGCACAATTATTTTCATCTCAGTGTATATGATTGCTAGAAATCATCATAGTTTGCAGTTCCTAGTTACGCAAAAAGAAGGAAGTATGAAAAGTTAAATTACACTTACTTTTTTCTTAGGTGATGTAAGCGATCTGGTCCCATTTTAGAATTTGCCATATTTATCAAAATAGCTCTATGGGGAGGACTATACTGGAACTCTTAAATATGGAATGTAATCACGTATTTTAAAAAGTATTGGCCATTTGCGTTTTCTTTTTTGAGAACTCCATTCATTAGGGTTTTGTTTTGTTTTGTTTTTTAAGATAGGATCTCCCCATAGCCCCAGCTATCCTGGAACTCATTATGTAGACCAGGCTGGCCTGAATCTCACAAAGATCCCTCTACCTCTGCTTCCTGAGTGCTGGGGTGAAAGGCATGTTCTACCATGCCCTGCCATAGGCCAATTTTTAATTGGACGATTTGGGGTCGGGGAGGCTGGGTGTTTAGTTCCTGCAGTTCTTTATACTAGATATTCGTTTTGTCTGTATTATAGCTGGCAAAAATTTTCTCCCATTTGTAGCTGTCTCCTCACTCTGCTTACAATTTCCTTTGCTATATGGAAACTTCTTAATTTCATGTCACCCCATTTGTCAGTTCTTGGAGTTGCTTCCTGCTTTCAGCAGTAATTTTAAGAAGCCTCTTATTTTGTGTTTGTGTAGCTTTGTGTTCTTGTAGCACAGCACTAGCCAATAGAACTTTCTACATTGATAGAAAGGGGAAGGGTTCTAAATCTGTGCTAATATTATAAAACACCTGTGGGTGGTGTAACTGAGGAACAAGGTTGTTAGTTTTAAGTTTAAAAATCACACGTTATAGTGTCTACTGGATTGACATTGCAGACCTCAGCCATTGCTTCTCCTTGGTCTATAGTACTATATGGCTTTCCTCCCCCATATTCCTTAGTGATGGAGCCAACCTGCCTCTCCCCCTCAGAGCAGTGCTACAGTAGACATCCTCAAACAGGTCTTTAGGATATATCTATACCAAATTTGACTAAATGCTGCCAAACATTTAACTCCTCTGATGCTAACTGCACCCATAAACACATTCAGCAGAAATTAGTGAGGATTCTTACATCTGTTCTTTCCTGACTCTTACTCCAATTTTTGCTAACAAAGGGTGTCTAATTTTTATTTGTATTTCTTTATTAGTCTCTTGGATATCCTTTTCTGGGAATTATGCTTCTTTCTCAAAAATATCTTTTCATTTTATCTTTTTAAAAATTTTATTTTTCTTTGGTGTGTATGAGTGTATTGCCTGCATGTGTGTAAGTGCACCATGTCATGCAATACCCACAGAAGTCGGAAGAGGGCATCAGATCCCCTGAAACTGGAGTTAGGGATGGTTAGCCACCACGTGGGTGCTGAGAATTGAACTCAGGTCCTCTGCAAGAGTAGCCAGTGCTCTTAACCACTGAGCCATCTCTCCAGTCCTTCATTTCTTATCCTTTTAATTGTATGTTGTATTTAGGTCTTTAATCCATCTTCTTTATATTGGCAATAACTGAGGTTCTCATTTTGTTTTTCTTTATATTTCATGAGTTTCCTAACATAATCATATGAGCCCCATATCTTCTCTTCGTTGACTCAGTAAAGCTATTGATGTTTGCTGCATTCCTTCATATAAACATAGGTCTGTCTCAGTTCTATTACTTTGTCTTTCTTATGCCAATATTTCCTGTTTTTCTGTGTGTGTCTTCATAGTTTATCTTAACATTTTAATAGAGGTGAGACTTTGACTAATTGAAAAAATAAGTTATTTAAAGAAGTCATTCAGGGCTGGAGAGACGGCTCAGTGGTTAAAAATATGAACTGCTCTTGCAGAGGACCCTAGTTCCATTCTCAGGACCCATGTTGGTGACCCACAACCACCTCTAACTCCAACTCTAGGGGATTCAGCACCCTCTTCTGGACCCCATGGAGTCACATGCACATACCCACACATATACACATAATTTTAAAATATTTTTTTTTAAAAAGAAGTTGTGCTAGTTTTCAGAATGCTTTCCCCATTGTGCATATTATATATTTTAGAAAGCACATTTAGGTGTGTTTGGGTGAGCTTCTTTACATCTGTATGAAGGTAGCAAGTTGGGTTTACATAATTCATCTATCTGTCATTTTAACCTACTCTTGAACAAATTAGTAAAGTTGTGTTATTTTCAGATTTCTAACCACTTGGAACTGATATTAAGGCTAAGTAGATCTGCATTAACATATGTCGTGTAACTTTTCATGGGAAGTTATAAAGAAACTTGTTGGGATTAAAGTTGTTAATCCCAGATTTACAGGGTAGCAGCAGACCAAAGGATTCTGTCCAGGTTGCGCTTGGCAAACCAATGTGCTTATTGGGGCTACTTAAGGGAGCATGGGTGACTCACAGGCAGGTAGACCACCTAAAAATCCCTCCCTAGTCAATTGTTTACCTCCTGTCTGGTAGCAGTTGAAATCTTGGGAAGGGGAAAGGCCTTGAGAGATTCCTGTCAAGGTCTCCTATGGGTCAGGACAGTGACTATGCTTCAACCCAGAGGAAACAGCCACACCACTGCATATTGTCTACATATATGCCAAAATATAACAGCTCTCATTTAAGATTTAAGAAAGCAAATGATTTTAACACAACAAAATTTGGTTCTGGTTTAAATTTGACTCAAAATTAGATTTCTGGTTTAGATATTTGCTGTCTGGATGGAAATAATTTCAGCTGAGTGCAGTTCAGGTTGGTGCTATGCCCATAGCTGTAGAGTCGTTTAGAGCTTGACTCCTGTCTTGGAAGGAAAAACTAGATTAATTTAAAATGACAGACAAATTCATTCAACAAAATATTCAGTACATATTGAGGCATTGTTTAAGGTCCCGGATAGGTTCTTATCTTTACAGTCAAGTGTGAGATTTTTATGCATAAGAATTTTATCCTCCAGGTAACTAGAGAATAAGATAGGTCTCTAATGGTGTGCTGGCTGATAGGACACTAACGGTGTGCTAGCTGATTCCTTCCCTTTCTCAGTGAGAAAAGCACATCAGAATTTAACTGAGGGTGATCCACTCATAATTGATAACTTTTAATGCATTTTTAAATATTATTTTTATGTGTTTGAGTTGTTTTTGTTTGTTTGTTTGTTTGTTTTTTGGTTGTTAGCCTTAGCCTTTAACAGCTGCGCTATCTGTCTAGCGTTTATATGCGTGTATGCAAGTGCACCCCTGTTGTGTATTGCTCACAGAGGCCAGAAGAGGGTGTCAGAGCCCCTGGAACTGGCTTTACAGACAGTTGTTATTCACCATGTGGGTGCTAGGAATCAAACCCAGTTCTCTGGAAAAATGGCAAATATTCTTAAGTGCTGAGCCATCTCTCTAGTCCCAACATTATTTTTTAGTTATTAGCAAACATTAGCATCTTAATAATGAAAACATTATTGTGAAAATAGTGGAATACTGGCTAAGTTGTTACTAGTCTTTTGTATGTTTTTTATGGTAGAGATTGAACCCAGGGCTTCATGCATGCAAAGTACATGCTCTACCACTGATGACACTTGATCTCTCATTTATTTTAAAAATAAGAAAATAGAGTCAGCTGATTTTAAAAGTTCGGTCTAGAGAGATGACTCAGTAGTTAAGAGCACTGGCTGCACTTGCAGAGGACCTGGGTTCAATTCCCAATAGCCACATGGCAGCTAACAACCATCTATAACTCCAGTTCCAGGGCATCCGATGCTCTCTTCTGGCTTCTGTGGGCGTTGCACATACATGATGCACTTGCATGCATAATGCATGCAGGCAAAATACTCGTATACATAAAGTAAAAATAAATCAAAAAAATTTTGAAGTGTAGCTGATGGGTAATTTTATTCTGGTTTTAAGTAGAAGGGAAAGGAATAAAGAGAAGTCATTTGTTGAAACTCATAAAAATGTGATTAGGAGGTGGGGATTTACATCTGGGGTAGAGTACTTACTGTGAGACCTTGGGTACAGCACTGGAGATAATGAAGTGGTGGATGTGATTAACAGATTTTGATCAATGACTGAAAGTATCTAAATGTCTTCTATTCTGTTGGGAAGACAGGAATAAATTAGTAAATTACCATTCCCCCCAGAGCATTCAAACCATAAAGGATTAATTAGATTTTCTTCTTATTGTCTCAGAATATCTTCCAAGGCTTATCCAGAGAGAAGCCATTATTACTAAAATGATGTTCCATATTTTATAAGGGTTGAGAGGAAGATTTGGGGAATGTTATTCACTATTAGTATAATAGAATATTCTTCTCAAAATTGTATCATCTCAGCTGGTGGATCCAAACTTTAGATGGTTAAGTTAGACCACTTCTTTGGTTCTAATCTACTAAGATGGGAATTTTTTTTAATTCTACATAACTAGAATGGTCTAAGTATGTATTCTTTGCCTATTATATTACTTGTCTTGTTCCAACAAAATACCTGACAAAAGCAACTGAAGGAAGGAAGGGTTTATTTTGGCTCAGAGTTTTGAGAGTACAGGCCCGTATGATTGGGAAGTCAGGACTGCAGGAACTGGAGGCATCTGGCCACGTTGCATCCAGTCAGGAAGCAGAGAGCAATGACTGCTACCACTCAGCTCCCTTTCTCCCTTTTAGTCAGCCTAGCACCCCAGCCCATGGAATGGGGCCATCCATGTTTAGTGAGGGTCTTCCAACCTCAACCTAATCTAGAAAGTCCACAGACATGCCCAGAGTTTTTTTTCCAAAATTATTTTAAATCCCATCAAATTGATAATTAGGATTAATGTGACATTTACCACAAGGGAATTTGAGTGGCTGGAAAAATAAGAAGTTTGCACTAAGATCATGTGCTCTACCTATTTAAAAAACTAACTAAATTGAATTTATCATTTTCAGTAACACATGATCTTATCATTTGAAATAACACGCCAGATATGAAGCAGTTACTGTAATGGGAAGTGAATGTGTAAGATGATGATTTGGGGTTGTCTTTGGTGGGTGTGGGTGTGTATTTGTTCAGTGTTATATGTTTTTTTGTTACTACTATTTACCTTGTGTTTTATGATTTTTTTCATTTGCTCCTTTTGGATTTTACTTGGAAGGAGTCATTTTAATGTTTCTGTTTCCCTAATGCAGACGATACCCTACTGTTGAAAAGCGAGCCAAAGTCTTCAATGGATCGAGTTACGTGCCTGTTCCTGAAGATGGTCCCTTCCTTAAAGCACTACTCTCTGAACTTAGATTATTGGGTGATGATAAGGACTTCGTAGAGAGTCGTGATAGTTGTTCACACATCAATAAAACATCTGTCTACGGGCTATTAGTAGGAGGTGAAGAACTCTGGCCAGTTGTTGCTTTTCTGAGGAACGACATGATACATGCTAGTGTTCCACTAGTTGAACAAACTCTCTCCCCTCGTCCACCACTAATTAGCATTAGTGGAATTTCACAAGGCTTGGAACTTCTTTTTGGGATACAGGATTTTCTTTACTCAGGTCAAAAAAATGACACTGAGCTAAATGCAAAACTGAGTCAGTTGCCTGATTTACTTCTGCAGGCTTGTCCACTTGGTACTTTACTGGATGCTAACCTGCAGAATTCACTGGATAGTATTAATTTTGCTTCAGTGACTCAGCCACAAAAACAGCCAGCCTGGAAAGTCGGAACATACAAAGGAAAACCACAGATTTCTATTTCTATCACTGAGAAGGTAAAATCCATGCAATATGGTAAACAGGATATAGCAGATACATGGCAGGTTGTTGGAACAGTCACTTGTAAGGTGAGATTTTCTCCAGTATTTTCTTTGTTATGCTATTTAACATCGAAGAACAGTACATTTTGCAAGTTGTGTTTTACATTTTTAAGTGATATTCATAGTTGTGATCTTTAGCAGCAGTCATGAAATTTTATGTTTCTGTATTAATTACTATATAATGAATTGTCCCATTACTCTAAAATAAACATTATATCCTTAGTTTTTGTGTGTCAGAAATTCAGAAGCAGTTTAGCTGGGAGCCTCCAGTATAGAAACTCAAGAGATCATAGTCAGGATTTTGGTTGGGGCTGTTGTCATCTGAAAATTTGACTGGGGCTGGGAAATCTGCTTGTAGCATGACTCAGATGGCTGGCAAGTTGGTACTAGTTACTGGAGGGAGGCCTCAGTTCTGTTCCACATGACCTCTCTATAGGCTGCTTAGGTATCTTCACAATCTTGGTAACTGGCTTCCCTCAGATCAAATTGTGTGCGTGTGTGTGTGTGTGTGTGTGTGTGTGAGAGAGAGAGAGAGAGAGATTGAGGGCTGTTGTACTACTTATTCTGAAAAGTCAGGTGGCACCACTTTTGTATTCGTTTGTTAGAAGCAAAGCAAATCACTAAGTCTGGTCACATTGAAGAGTTGTAGATTTAGGTCCACCTTTTGAAAAGAGTTGTATCAGAGAATTTGTGAATATATTTTATAAGTTTTTATCTGTTAAATTTTGGTCATGATCAAAATGCATTCCAATTATTCATTCTATTAGGAAGAACTACTGTAAGCAGCTCTACAAGCATGGACTATATCATTCATAACTCTTAAAGTAATTGAGTCCTTTTTTTTTTCTCATAAGTTCAGTGAAATAAAATGTAGTAAGAGTCACTATTTCTTTGTTCATCCTGGATGTTATATATAACATAATGCTAAATGTGTTAGTTACTTTTCTGTTGCTATGGTAGAAACGCTGACCAAAGCAATTTATAAAAGGAAGAGTTTAGTCAAGCTTATGGTTCCAAAGGAGCAAGCGTCCATCAGGGCAGGGCAGCATGGCTGGCAGAGGTGGCTGGAGGAGGAGTGGAAGCTAGGCTCTATATCTTCAATCAGGCACAGGAAGCAAGAGAGATCTGTCAAGGCTTAAGAACTCTCTAAGCCCGCCCCCCGTGACATGCTTCCTCCAGCATAGCCACACTTTCTGAGACCTCCCCAAACAGCGCCACCAACTGGGGACAAAATGTCCAAATACTTGGAGCCTATGGGGGATATTCTCATTCAAACCATCACACTAAACATGATGTGTAAATGTCTGTTCATTCATCATATGACCTTAGTTTATTGCTTGCAGAATTGTAGATTGATTCTTATTAGTCTGGGCATAAATTGCCGTGATAGAGAACATTTATTCTTTTAAAATGGGGGAGGAGCAAAATGGCTTACCCTTGTAAAGGCACTTTTCACCAAGCCTGACAACCTGAGTTCAGGTTCCATATGATAGAAACAGAGAACTGTCCCCCACAAGTTGTCCTTGCACCTCTACACATACACCCACAGACAATAAAATAAATGTAATTTTTTTTTCTAGATATGGTGGTATATATCTTTAATCCCAGCAGGAAGAGGCAGGTGGATCTCTGTGATCTTGAAGCCAGCCTTGTCTACATAGTGAGTTTCAGACCAACTAGGGCTATACAGTGAGACCTTCTCTCAAAAAATAGAAAAGAACTTTAATTTTTTTTTTTTAATTTAAAAATGGGAAGCTGGACATGGTGACACGTGCCTTTAATCCTAGCATTCGGGAGGCAGAGGTAGGTTGGTCTCTGTGAGATCAAGGCCAGCCTGGTCTGCATAGCAAGTTACAAACCCTTGGGTTTGGTTCCCAGCACCCAAATGGCAGTTGACAACTGTCCTAAACTCCAGCTCCAGGGGATCCAGTGTCCCCTTCTGTCTTAGACATGTACTAGGTGCACTTTTATACATATAGGCAAAACATTCATGCATATAAATAAGTCAAACATTTGAAAAAAATTTAAAGATTATATATGGATGTTCTGATGGTTAGTCAAGCATTTTTAAGTGTTTTATGAGCTTAGTATTTAAAGGAGTTTTATTATGAAACCCATCCTATATGGGCATAGATAACATGTAACAGAAAACCCAGTTAATTAAATCCAAGTGGAGGGGTTTCAATTCTACCCAGTGGTAGAAGGCTTCCCTTACATGTGAGAGGTCTTGGGTTCAATCGTTACATGAAAAGAAAAAAAGAAGCCACTGGACTAAAGTTCTAATTTATACCTCTAATTTTCCTGTGTCCTTGAAAAGTCACATAGCTTTATAAATCTTATATCAGTTTTAAAAAATATTATTTTTATTTTATGTGTGTGAGTGTTTTGTCTGCATGCATGTAAGTGCATTATGTGCATGCATTGCCCGCAGAGGTCAGAAGGAGAGGGTCAGATTCCCTGGAACTGGAGTTACAGATAGTTGTTAGCCACCATGTGGGCACTGGGAATTAAACTACCAGGTGCTCTGAAAGAACAGCAAGTGTTCTTATTTGCTGAACCATCTCTCCAGCCCGTCTTATATCGTTTTTAAATGAGATTAGTAAGCCCTTAAATGTCTTCTGTTTCATAATTCCTAGTTTTAAGGTCCAGATTTGCATATGCCAGAGTGGCTTAAAGGAGAGAACACATTCTTTCTAGAATGGCTGTCCTCTTCCTGGATTTATAGTATTGTAAGTGAATAATTGGTGGGAATTTATTAGAAGTTTCCAAATGGTACTGTTTCTTTGACTGCATTATGAATGTTACACTGCTAAGGAAAATTTTAATAAACAAATTGTATTTTAAATTTTAATATTATTTGCTATCAAATGTTTTCTTATTTTATTATCTCCATAAATACCAAAAAACACTATTTATTCTTACTAATTTACATATATAATGTAGCCAGGGGTTTAAGTGTTGAAACACATTATTTTTAAGTTCTTTACTAGGAATTTTTGTCATTTTAATTTGCAAATATGATTAGTATTCTTGTAATTGTCACTAAAATAAGACCTTTGCATAAGGTACCGATTGAACCTTTTACTATTCATAATGCCTGCCTACTCCCTAAGTACTTAACATGTGTAAGAGATACAGATGAATTCACAGGTGTTGAATGGTAGATAAAACATTAAAAAGTGAAACATTTCATATTAGTATCAAAAAAATAAGGTTTCATTAATAGAAAAGGTATAAGCTCTACAAGCATTTGGTTATTATCTCCCGTGCACAGAAGGCACTACAAATAGGAAGAACAGCTCTTGCTTTGAAAGAACTTAAAGCTGCAAAAGGGAAACAAATAGAATCACAAGTTACACGTTGGTGGTAGGTAGACAGTGCATGGTGCAGATTGTAGGTAGTGTATCTAGAGCTAAGCATGTTATCTGTTGATTTCTACTCTTAAATATCTTATAGGTCTGACTAAACAGATCCATATACTAAGTGTATATGGATCAAAAAACTTGTTTGAGCCAATGCTTTAAGAAGTAAACATCAGGGCTGGAGAGATGGCTTAGCAGTTAAGAGCACTGACTGCTCTTGCAGAGGACCTGGATTGGATTCCCAGCACCCACATGGTGGTTAATAACCATGTGTAACTTGGATCTGATACCTTCTGTCCTCCGCAGGTATTGCACAACACACATGCAGATAGTACACTCATACACATAAAATAAAAATAATAAATATTTTTTTTTAAAAAAGAAGTAAATGTCAGGACTAGAATCATGGCTCAGCTGTTAAAAGCACTTGCCAAAGACCCAAGTTCAGTTCCCAGCACCCACATTGGGTGTTTCTCAAGTACAAGAGGAGCTGGGGAAATAAAAGTGTGTGCTTTTGGTTGCAGCTTTAGAAAAATAAGACACTTAAAACTTTTTTCTGGAATGTAGAGTCAGTAGAGAAACCAAGTTCACAGGGTAGTCCGAAAAGTGCCAGTTCAGTCTGCTATAACCTCAAAATGGGGATTTAAGGAGAGGTCTGCAAATGGGCTACATCTGAGCTATGATAGCCTTAACATAGGAACTCAGGAAGAGGTCTCTGGAACTGTCACCCCAGCCTTCCATGACCACCCAGTAGTAATGACTTCTCTTCCAAACCTCTCTGTTTGCCTCCCATTGGTAAACTTTGCCAACTCACATAAGGAAGAAGATTCTGCACCTCTGCATGGCAGAAGTAGGCTGTGGGTATGACAGTACAAAGTGTATGTAAGGCTTACACTGAGCACCAAATGAGCCAGATGTGAAGAGTGAAAGACTTTATTTTTACAAACTTTTTTAATATTTATTTGTATGAAACAATGCTGTGGGCTCACATGCCACAGTGCACATGTGGGCATCAAAGGACAACTTACAGGAGTTGGTTCTCTCCTATCATGTGAGTCCTGGGGATCAAATCATCAGGCTTGACTGCAAGTACCTTTACCCACAGAGCCATCTCACCAGCCCAAGAAAGACTTTATAGGGAGTAAACATAGATGAAAAGACTAGCACATGCCAAGGTGCATATGGAAGTATAAGACAGTATGAATTGGGGCTGAAGAGATAGCTCAGTGGTTAAGAGCACTGGCTGCTCTTGCAGAAGACCGAGGTTCAAATCCCAGCACCCACATGGCAGCTAACAACTTGTCCATAACTCCAGTTCCAGTGACTAATATAGTATTCTCTCTGTTCACTGGCCTACATGTCTAATAGTATATCAAATCGTTACTCAGAAAGCAGGAAGCAAAGAATAATGCCTAGAAAGAAAGTCAGTTAATACTTTTATTCAGAAAAGTCTCAGAAGCTGCATGTCTTAGAGAGCTTGGTTATACTAGTTTCTGTTTGTCTTACAGTGTGACTTAGAAGGAATCATGCCAAATGTTACCATCAGCTTGAATCTCCCCACAAATGGATCTCCACTTCAAGATATTCTCGTTCATCCTTGTGTGACTTCTCTTGATTCTGCCATTCTGACTTCTAGTAGCATTGACACAGTGGATGATTCTGCATTTAGTGGGCCTTACAAATTCCCATTCACTCCACCTTTAGAGTCATTCAACCTATGCTACTACACATCCCAGGTAAACCATCTTGAAATAATTGGGTCTTTTCATGAGTTATTTACAAGATATGAAGGCAAAAGTTCAATCTTTGAATAGGCTACCTCTTACCTATGATGTCTGTAAGAACGATAATTTTATTGTTATTATTATTAGTCTTTTTGAGGCAGGGTCACCTTGTAACCACAGCTGGCCTGGCCTGGAACTTGCTATGTACCCCAGGCTTGCCTCAATCTCACAGAGTTCCACCTGCCTCTCCTTATTTTATGAGTGTTTTGCCTACATGTATTTAAGTACACCTGTGAGTGTAGTACACACAGAGACCAGAAGAGGGTGTCAGATCCCCTGGAACTGGCATTATGGATGGTTGCTAGCCACCATGTGGGTGTTGGGAACCACACCTGGGTCCTCTGCAAGAACAGCTTCTTAATTACTGTATCACTTCTCCAGCTCCAGGAGCATTAATGAAGTTTAGCGTTAGTGAAGTTTTGGTGGGGAAGGGAGTTGTTGTTTCCTCAGTTAGGAATCCAAGGTCATAGGATAGACCCTGGTATGCTTTAGTCATGATTATAAACATAAGAAATGAGCCCAGGAAATCTTAATTAATAAATATATAATAATAGTAGTAGCTATTTATACTTCCTGAATGAGTGCTGTGTGTCAGACATTGTCTAGGTATTTTACATGTGTTTTTCTAGTACTTTCCACAAATCTTAAGATAGATATTATCCCCATTTTATAGATGAGAAAAATCTCAGAGAAGTTAAGTGGTGTGACTTGCACAAGATCCTATGACAAATGACCGAGACTGAATTTGAACCAGAGTTTCCATATTCCCAAAATCTAACATGTTTGGTACTACATCATTTGTCTCTTGTCATAGTTATTAATCAGTATATGAGATGGTCCTGTCCAAGCTAGACTAATTTATTTTGAGAGTCAACAGGCATTCTCATTATCATTCAAGAATAATGATGATAATGATAATGATCCAGGCTACTTGAGAATTAGAACTAGACAGTTAAAATTCTGTGCACTGAAAGTTGGCATTGTCTCATCTCTGCTTCTCAATCGTAAGAGACTCTCTGTTTCTTACTTCAAATGCACCAGTCAGATGATTAGTTTACAGCAGCATACAGATTATTTTCCCCTCAGTCAGTTGTTGATGGCCAATCAGGTCAGCTACTCTTAAGCTAGGGGGTTAGAAAAGGAGAAACAGTACAGTCACAGAAGGAACTGTGGGCAGAGGAGCAAGTGATCAGTATGTACAGAATGTGACCTGTGCTGCAGTTCAGAGAATTTGGAGGAGGGGAACATGGAGGAGCAAAAGTGGGACCAAGAATATATTATAAAGTACCTTTCTCATCTCTGGGAACAGAGAGAGGTAGAAGAATCTGCCCTTAGGATGAATACAGATCCACCATTGCTATTATCACAAGGCGGAGTAACTGTAGTCATTAAAGGCATATCTATCTATGATGTATGTGATGATTATATAGTATGCAGCATATGTGTATACAATGCATACATGTATACAAAGTAATATATAATAAATACTGTGTATTACTAGGAGGCTTTTTTTTTCCTGTCACCATTTCTATTTTAGCCACACTAATTAACCTGAGAATTATATTAAAATTTATGTTTGTTTCCAGGTCCCTGTCCCTCCAATACTGGGTTTTTATCAAATGAAAGAAGAAGAAGTACAACTAAAAATAACAGTCAATTTAAAACTTCATGAAAGTGTGAAAAATAATTTTGAATTCTGTGAAGCTCATATACCCTTTTATAATAGGTAGGAATAAATAATATGTCACTATGACTGCTGTTCTCCCTAATATATTCCTACTGCCTCACAATAAAGTGTCATTATTTACTGTATTTTCTAAATCTAAATAATTTTGTTACTCAAATGAATACTGATATTTTTTAATTTTTATTGTTTTTATTTTATGTGTATGCGTGTATTGCCTGCATGTAGATAGTGCACCCATGTCATGCAATGCATGAGGAGGTCAGAAAAGACTGTTGGATCCCCTGGGACTGGAGTTACAGACAGTTGTTAGCTGCCGTATGGGTCCTGGGATTTGAACCCGGGTCTTCTGCAAGAACAACCAGTGTTCTTAACTGCTGAGCCTTCTCTCCAGTCCCATGAATACTGATTTTTAACCAAAACATAGTCGTGAAAAAAATTATGTACTTTTAAATGTTATGTCATTTTTCCAGTTTATCTTGCTAATAAGTCATAAACCTCAGGCAATCTAATTTCCTTAGGGATCACTTTTCCACTGACTTTATTTCTATCAGCTTCTCAGAAGTATATATACAAGTTAATCTTAACTATCAACAACCTGGCAAATTAACCAAGTATGTCATAAAATCACTTTCTAATCATTTCTACTTTTAGATTTATTCTTCAGTGTAGTTCTTTACAAAGTATAAATATATAATAAAATCATAGCTTAATGTTGCACTAACCTATGTAACTATAAATACAGTCTATAGTTTTAAAATTGTTTTAGAGTATTAATAAAATGTATGTCATTACTGTAAATGTTTATGTGGCTTCTGGTATTTTCTAGATCTGTGTTCATTATTCATTCTTTCTGCAAACCAGAATGTAGACCTGCTTTAGCTGTCCCTATATTAAGTAACAGTAACAAGATTTGTTTCTCTAAACTTATTTTCTGAGGTTTTTTTTTTTTTTTCTTTTTTATTTGTTTCTTTTTTAAAGAGGTCCAATTACCCATTTGGAATACAAAGTTAGTTTTGGCCAACTTGAGGTATTTCGAGAGAAAAGTCTATTGGTCTGGATTATTGGTGAGCAAGGTTTTATTTCTTAATTTTTTCTATTTGCTGTAGAAAAATCTTCTATTTTAGAATAATTGATTGTTGTGTTCATGTTTTCAGGACAGAAATTCCCCAAATCAATGGAAATCAGTTTTTCTGGAACTATAACTTTTGGAGCCAAGGGCCATAATAAACAGCCATTTGATCACATTTGTATTGGAAATACAGCATATGTAAAGGTAAATCTATGAATCACTACATTAGAATCTCATTCCTTTAGTTCTAATTTATATAGTTGATTTTTAGTACTTTCTAGCAATTTTTAAAAATTCTGTGCTCTTTGTCTAGCAAAGTGTCCTTTAAAAAAAATTGTTTGATTCTTTTGCTTATTACTAGTTGGGAGTGGGAGAGACCAGTTTGCAGGTGGGGATGTCCCATGGCATTTGGAGACCAGAGGACAACTTGTGGGAGTAGGTTATTTCCATCCTGCTGGTCCCAGGGATCAAATTTCAAGTTCTCAGTCTTAGTAGCAAGTGTCCTTACCCTCTGAGCTGTCTCTCTGGCCTTGGTTTTGTTTTAAGACAGGGTCTTTGTAGCCCAAACTGATTTCCCAATTCCTATGTAACCCAGGCTGGCCTTGAACTTACAAGCCTTTCCTGAGTGCTAGAATTACAAGGATGTATCATCATACCTGACCAGTACTTGTCATTTTTCTATTTCACTAAATACTTCAATTTTAAGAGTATAGGTTATAGGTTAATTATAATCTAAACATTCCAGTTGAAAATCACTCAACTCTTAGCAGGTTTGAGATTTGTGTACAAAAATAAGATACAGTCTTTGAGCTCTAGGGATTTTTCAATAATGCACTTTAGTGATTTATCAATACTAACTGCTTTTGGTGTCTCAAAGAAAAAGTGAGCACTTCTGGCCAAAGGAAGCTTTGAGGGCTAGGTAAGGATGAAGTTTTATCTAAAAAAAAAAATGACAGAAGGACCAGTGAGATGGTTTGGCAGGTAAAAGCACTTGCTGCACAAGCTTGACAAACGTCGAGTTCGATCCTCAGAATCTCCTGTGGAAGGAGCTATCTGACTCTCCAAAGTTGTCCTGTAACCTCCACATGTGTGCTATAACACACACATACATACAAATAATAAACACATTTTTTTTATATGAGAGTGAAAAAAGGTAAACAAGGCACACATAGAAGCCAGTGCTAGAAACAGAGGGTTTCAATAAGGACAAATCTTTCAGGTATGGGATTTAGGGGCCTTGAACTTTTATTCCTTTGGTAGTATTTTTCAAGAAGAGGAATGTTCTTTCACAAAATGGTTACTTGATGAGTGTTAGCATACAGTGGATATGAAGGACATGAGTGATAGCAGAGACATTGAGAGTTGAGTCTCATTCATTCATTGTTTTATCCCCAACATCTGGTTCAGTGCTTAGCACAAAAATATGTACTGATTAAATGAATACACTTGAACAGAAAGTACTGATATGCAGAAAGTTGAGAAAGAGTGATAGCAGCATATCACAGTGTAAGTGTCCAGCCGGTAGCTAAGAACCTAGAGCTTGATTTACAGAGAGATCCCTGTGTATAAGGATTGGGAAGTAGCCACAGAGAAGAAAAAGTTGAGGCAGTGAAAATGAATAACAAGAATGACAAGAGAAAATAGGGGAAAGATTCAGAAGAATCAGTATGAGAAATTGAAGAAAGGCCACAGAAAAATAGAATGCTGTCTGAGAAGTCAAAGATGAGATAGAAATCATCCATAAAGGCAGTGAGAGGAAGTGGCAGTGAGGGTAGAAGTACCCTGCCAAGAATTCATTTGTTTCTACGTCAGCTTTAACTGTTTCTGCTGTCTTCACTTTAAGGATTATTACAAAAATTTCTCTTTTTTTTCAGGAAAAAAATATGAAATGTTACCACATTGTACACCACAAAGGATAGTTACTAGAATTTTTCTGTTCTCTTCTTTCACTTAACCAGTTCTAATTTGATATAAAATAATACATATTTGTAGTCATTGAATGAATTCAAAGTGGCTTGTTTTTTGTGTTTTGGTTTTTTAAGACAGGGTCTCCTGTAGCTCCAGCTGGTCTAGAACTCCCTATGTAGACCAGGCTGGCCTTGATCTCACAGAGATCCACCTACCTCTGCCACCACACCAGCTGGATTCAAAGTGTTTTATGTTATACTGGTTGTGTGGAAGTCAGCCTTGCAGCATGCAGGCTTCCAGCATGCTGTTATATAACAGAGAAGCACAAGCCCTTTGCTTTCAAATTCCATGAGCTGCAATGGGAAAAGGTTGTTACAATCTGACAATTAGTATTAGAAAAATGTATGTGGTTTGGGAGTAACTTGGAGGTGGAGGACTTGCCTATTAAGTGCAAGACCCTTGACTTGGTCGACAATGCTGGGAAAGAAAAGGGTTGAAAAGATAGCAGGATCCTCCAGAATGGGGTGTTTACAGCAGAGACCAGGAGACCAGGAGAACACAGCGAAAGGAAACTGGAAAGCACTAATCCTCACTGTGTTACGGCATAGTGTAACTAGCATTTACAGTGACAGCCGTACATCATCAATGAAATCAGGAATTATGTGTTACGTTTCTAGATGAGCAAAGGGATGACATCTAAGCTCAGTTCTATAGAAGTTAAATTTCATTTATCTGAAAAACTACGTAGAGCAGGCCGTTTTCCACAAGCATGAGATAAACTGATGTTTCCGCTATTGTCACTGCATTTTTGTGCTTCATTAAAAAGCATGTACATTCAAACATATAAAGAATTGTGCTCTAACATGTGTCACAAACAGTGCTAGGAAGTAAAGAATATGCCTTCTATAAGGAAGCATAGCAGAAGGAGCATCACCTTTTTATAGTTGGCCAATTCTGAGTTGAGGTGCCAGCTCTGCTGTTCACAGGGTTAGAATGACTTCACTGTGTGCCTCACAGTCCACACTGGTCAGGTACTCAGATTGTGTTAAAAGCATTTCATAATGGCAGCTTACAAAGACATGGACCTAGTGCAAAGTGGGGAAAGTGTGTGGATTTATATGTGTACACTATAATCGTAGTTTCATGTTTGTGATTTTTATTGTCTAAACTATTGATAAAGCTATAAAATTTGTCAAGGGGAAAAATGTGGCCATTCTTACCAAATAATCACCTCAATTTGGTACATTTCTCCTTTTTCTAGCTTCATTTTAGGATCTCAGATTACACACTCACTGGATGTTACGCGGATCAGCATTCAGTTCAAGTATTTGCATCAGGAAAACCAAAAATAAGTGCACGTAAGTTATACAGATTCAAACTAAATGGCATTGAAATGGTGCTGTGTCATCAGTAATTAAGGTAAAATTAAAATAAAAATTGTGGTTGAAATGAAAATGGGTGAATGATCCCATTTTATAAAAATTTCTATAGCTTGATCTACTCCCGTAATAACCGTTTGTGACTTTGCATTGTCCTCTGTCTTCTCCTGTTTAAAAAGTGGCCTCAATGAGCAAGGGTCCAATAGGTATGAGCATTAGTACAGAGTTGGACTTGCTTTGCTCTGGTTCTATTAGACTCTTAGTTGGGGACCGTTCACAGGAGCTTTATTTACCTTAGGATTTTTATGAAGTTTAAATATAATTACATTCATTGAGCATCTAGCAGGATGCTTTAAAGTACAGATTCAATAAATATGCTTGTTACTTAAAATTTAAGGACTTTTAGCAAATTTTATGATCAGTAGACATTTAGGCCCTTCTGTAGTCTACCAGTGAACAGACAATACAAAGATGATTCCATGCCCTTGTTGAGTTTATTTATTGGTTGTAAAATGTGTGTGTGTGTGTGTGTGTGTGTGTGCATGATCTACTGTGAAAATATGCATCTGTGTTTTATATTAATATAAAGGAAACAAAAGCAAAATTCAGAATTATTTAATTCAGTTTAAATACCTATAGGTGGCATAGAAAAGTAGCTAGTAACTGTGCGAGGTAGTATACGCCTTTAATCCCAGCACTTGTAGGCAGAGGCAGGTGACTCTGTGAGATTGAGGCCAGCCTGGTCTACATAGTGAGTTCTAGGGAAGCTGGGACTACAGGGAGACCCTGTCTGAAAAAAAAAGGAAAAGGGGGGTGGGGTGGAGGGAAGTAGCTAGAATGAGTAGCTAAAGTTAGAACAAGTTTTCTCTCATTCATTGAGGAGAATAACACCCTTATATATTTAGATAAGAATAATCCTAATTTATAAAAATTCTTCTTATACTTAGGTAAGTCTTTTTATTTGTTTGCTTTTTGTTTTGGCAGTACTTGGGATCAAACTCAGGGCCTCATGCATTCTAGGCAAGTGCTCTAGCACTGAGCTACATCCCTAGCCTCAGTCATGTTTCCTAAGCTAAGGATTAAGGTTTCTAAAATTGGAAGGATAGGGCAATATTCTGTACTTCAAGTAAAGCTTTCAATGCTTCAAAAGAAGTAGAGAATTCTTAACTGCAGAATTCCAAGCAATTTCTTATGAATAGCAGTAATTCTGTGTAGTGTAAGCAGAGTAAGACATTATTTTTTCTTTTTTATTGAATTTTTTCAATTTTCATACAAAATAATTTGATGGTATTTAGATCCCCTCCTCTATCTGCCCATCTCCCCTTATTGCCATGTACTCTATTTTATATGTATATACATATATATGTGTATATACATATAAAATAGACATATATGTATGACATAATAATATATATGTCTATATAATAGACATATATATAATAGACATAAGGCCTGTGGAGTCTTAATTTGTGTCTTCAAATGTCCTTCAGTGTGGGTTCATACAGTGGAGACTGGTTAACCTACCAAGAGTTCCATGCTTGAAAGAGACTGTCTCTGCCCCTCCCAGCAGTCATCTGTTGCCATAGTTTCCTTAGGTGAGATTGGAGTTTCTTACTCCCTTCCGCGTATCTATGCTGGGATTTTTTTTTTGCCTGGTTTGAGCTTGTATGGGACTTGTGCATGATTTCACCATTGCTATGAATTCATATAAGTAACTGACCAGCTGTCTTGAAAACTGTTTGTGATCATCCACCAGCTCTGGCTCTTGTAATCTTTGTACTCCCTCTTCTGCAATGATTCCTTAGTCTTGAGGGGGACAGAAGTTTGATATAGGTAAGATAGTGTTTTTTACTTCTGTATTTTCCCTATTTTTTTCTCTCAGCAGTCTTTTTCTGTTTTTAAATGAATTTGTGGCATATTCATAGTGAATACATTCTTTCATGAAAGCATAATATTGAAGTCTTTTTTTTTTTTATGTGTATGAGTGTTTAGTGTGCATGTGTGCAAAGTGTACCCATGTCTTGCAGAGCCTGCAGTGGCCAGAAAAAAGCATCTGATCCCCAAGCACTGGAGTTACAGACAGTTCTTAGCCACATGTGAGTGCTGGGAGTTGAACCTGGGTCCTCTGCAAGAGCAGCCCATGCTCTTAACTGCTGAGCCATCTCTCCAGCCCTGAACATTTTGTCTAAATACAAATAAGTGAATATTTTAGATAATCTATAGGAAATGTTCTCTCTGATGTGGTAACTAAAATATATCTAAGTATTTTATTAATATTAACTAAACATAATTTCCAGAGAGCATAATTTAATAAAGGGTTGGGGTTTCTTACCCACTTCTCCATGTCTGTGCTGGGATTTTGTCTAATTTGAGCTTGCATGGGACTATGCTTGCTGTCTCAATTGCTGTGAGTTCATATGAGTAACTGATCCACTGGAAAACTCTTTCTTTGTGATCATAACCCCCTGGCTCTTAAAATCTTTTCACTTCCTCTGCAGTGATCCCTGAGCCTCGGAAGGCAGAGCTTTGAGATAGCTGTCCTATTCAGGGATAAGTACTCTGCAGCCTCTTTTTCTCTGCACGTTGGCTAACTGTGGGTATTTTCTTTTATTTTGAGACACGGTCTCAAGGCCTAGACTGGCCTCCAATTCAACATATTCCTGCCTCAGCCTCCCAAGTGCTAAAGTGATAGGTACCTGCCTAGTTTCTGATGACTCCTAATACAAAATACATTGAATAAAAGAGTTCATCTTAAATGAATCATTATAATTACTCTTTTATTTAAAATCTTTATTTTTGCCTCATATGGTCATACCATATACAATTCAGTTCTGCAAAAAGTTTAGTGATTGTGTCAGTTTTAATAATAGTAGCATTTATTGCTTACTATGTTCCACATATAATTTTCTAAGTGCTTTATGTATGTTAATTAAGCCTCATAGTACCTATAAATAAATAAAATAAAATATCCCTATTTTATGGATGGGGACACTAATGGAACCAAGAGATTAAAGGAGGGTTCTACAGCTAGCAAATGACAAGGTGAAGATCAAACTCAAGCCATTGACTACTGGAGCCTGTCATTTTAATAGGCTGTGCTGCCAGGCATGGGGGTGCATGCCTTTAATCCTAGCACTTGGGAGGCAGAGGCAGGCAGATCTCCGAGATGAAGGCCAGCCTGGTCTACATAATGAGTCCAGTCCAGTTACAGGGAGTACCTGTCTCCAAAAAAACCAAAAACAGTATGCTGTGCTGCCTCCCAGTGTTACTAGGTTCTCACACCTTTAAACTGCACAAGAAAAAGGAAAGTAATCTAATACACCCTATGTTTTGTTCATCAGGAAGGACATGAAGAGGGGAAAAAGCTAAATTATATACTCAGTGATACATATAATAATGGTTTAATGTGTCTCCAAATAAACGTGATCGTCTCAGTTTTTACATATCAGGAAACTTGCTGTTAAAACACAGTGTTTGAATTGACTCCAAACCATAAGAAACCAGGAAAGCATCCTCTCCCAAATTGCATCAAGAAAGTCGGATTTTGATTTTTATCTTCTACTCTTTCTTTTTTTTTTTTTCACAGAAACCAGGCTGGCCAAGATCCACTTACCTTTGCCTAGTCCCTAGTAGTGGGATTAAAGGCATGCTCCGCCATGCCCAGCCAAATCTTTAACTCTTTAATTGGAGTAATGAATACCAAGACCAGCATGAGAACCTTGGGAAACCAAGAAGAAATTTTTAAACATTTTTACAATTAATGGTTCACTAGAAATACAATTTAGACGTGTAGGGGAAAATAAATATTTGCTATAAATGAGGGATACAAGTACTAAAGTTCAACATAAAATTTTTTTTTTTTTTTTTTTTTTTTTTTGACTTTTTGAGACAGTGTTATTATGTAGCCTTGGCTGGCCTTGAATGCTTGAATAAACCAGGGTGGCCTTGATCTCACAGATATCTGCCTGCCTGCCTCCCAAGTGCTAGGACTAATGGTATGTGCAAAGCCTTGATAAAATAAAGAAAGAAAAAAGGAAAATTAACATTTCAAAGTTATTGCCATGATACGATTATACTCCACAATTTCAATAGTTGATGACTCTCCTCTCTTGAGTTTTGGCTAAGATAAATATTTTTAATCATTGATTTCTTTTCTTTTTCCATTTGTAGACCGGAAACTAATTTCTTCTGATTATTACATCTGGAATTCTAAAGCCCCTGCTCCAGTAACATTTGCATCATTGTTATCATGATCTTCTCATGTTTTGATGGGATTTGTATATGGTGACATACCTTTGAATCATTTTTATCTCTAAGTATATTCATATGAACTGTGATGGAAAAAAAAAAAACATTGTGTGGTTTATTTATAAAAATACCTGTATTCAGTGTTTTATTTTAAAGGCTAATGTCTGGTTTTTTGTTATCTTCTGATTTTATGCCAGTATGTCTCAGAACACCGAAAAAAATGGTGACTCAAGTTGACTTTTTAAGACTAGTCTGCAGTTACTGTGCCTTGTGCCACACACATTCCTTCCTGCCCCTGTGGGAGGCAGTGCTGATCTTATCAGAGCCCTCCTCCTAGTACAGTTTCAGGGAATGTTCCAGTGTGTTGTAGTTGATTTGCAAGAAAACTATTTGCTTATCTAAACATAAGTACATAGCACTTAGTACCGAATGCTATTACAGAGTACCAGTGATCTGGTTAAAAATAACCAGGTAGGCATGGTGGTGCATGCCTTTAATCCCAGGACTTAGGAGGCAGAAGCTGGCAGATCTCTGTGAGTTCAAGGCCAGCCTGGTCTATGTAGTGAATTCCAGGCCAGCTGTGGTTACATACTGAGACCCTGTCTCAAAAAGACCAAAAAAAAAAAAAAATTATTATTATTATTTTAAATCTTTTAGAGCGAGCCATTGGAGACAAAAGGAATAATTTTAAGTAGTTGCAGCTGCTCCTCCGTTTACCCGAAGTGCCAGCTGCGCTGCTCTTCTGCTCCCCCAGTGCCGTCTCCGGGCGCCGCTCCTCGGCTTGCCCTGGTGCCGCCTGCGGCTGCTCTCCATTCACCCAGTGCTGACTCGGATCGTACAGGCACCGCCTCCTGGGCGCTGCCTCTGGTCGCAGGGGCACCACCTCTGATTGCCTGGATGCTGCCCCTCCCTCCTCGCTGTGGCCGTTCTTCTGCTCTCTCGGTGCTGAGGCCGCTCTTCTGCTCGCTCAGCGCTGTCTCCAATCGTTGCTGCTTCTGCTGTCCCGGACCCCAGGCCTGGTGAGGAGACGGGGAGCCATATTCAGACACAGGAGACCCAGTTTGATGATGCAGATCCAGTTAATTGCAGAAGGGTACAAGCTTATATAGGGGTAGGGGTCCAATCAAGAAGTTACAACTCAGATCTTTGGCAGGGCTGTGTCCTATCATAACATCTTGAGTCAGTCACATTATTAGCATAATAGGTTTCATGTTACTTAGGTTCCAGTTTCCTGTATGGGGCCTGGATTCCTAGGAACCATGTGACCCAGGCTGTTGCAATATCTAAGTGTTGCAATTTGGAATCTCAAGGGTGGTGATTAGGGAGTGGTGAGCTTTAGGCATCAGTCTCATGATCTGCTAATTGGAGCAAATGTCACAAGGTGTTCCTTGTGGCTCCAGTGGTTGGGCCATTGCCTCAGGCCTGCTGTATGGCTGTCATTAAGACTTTCACCCTAGGCTCAAGCCTGTCTCCCACAAGTAAGTAGCCTGTTTATTTGATCTACTTTATTGGCTAATAGAAAATCTGCATGGTTATATTTGAAGTTTTTGCCTCTATTCTAAAGCTACTTTGTTGTTATTGAGACAGGGTCTCATGTAGCTAACCTTGAACTCACTATGTAGCTGAGAATGACCTTGAACTCCTAGTCTTCCTGCCTCCACTACTCCAGTGCTGGTATTATGAGTATATCACCACACTCAATTTGTGTCCTTGGGACTGAACTCAGGGCTACAGGCATGCTAGGCTAGCACTCGACCAGCTGGACTATATTCCCAGCCCCTCTGGAGCCACTTTCACTAAGTTTACTAATCTACCAAAATAACATTATGCTTAAGATTCCAGTAGACTTACTAAGAAGAGTGCGATGCCTTTGGAAGATGAGCTTAGTGTTCTGTGATTATTACTCTCTGAAGAAAAGGTTTTAAAGATAAATTTAGACATAATACTACAGTACTACTTTTTTGTTTTATTAAACCTGTTAATAAACTCAGATCAAAACTCAAATCCTTTCTGTGAGTAGAGAGTGTCATTTACATTCATTTTACATAACTTTTTTCTTTAAGTTTGTACCTATTATTTTCTTACTACCATTTTCTTGATTCCTTCAGAAATCATCTAGCTAAATTCTTTATTCTCTACCTGTTTCTATAGTTAGACATCGCATCCTGTTTTCAGAGCAGAGTGTTGTCAAGTTGGACTTTAAGTGACCATTCAAAAAAAAGTCTCAAAATCCTGAGAACTTAATTGATGTCAATTTTTTTTACAGAACTGAATTAGAAGCCTAACAAAAAATATGCATTACAGATTAATATTTAATTTGGTTTATCATGGGTTCTGTTTTTTAATGAGTCTCTGAAAGAAAAGCTTAGAAAAAGCTGCTAACTCCTTGAAGGAGAGCTGTAATAGCTTGAAGGGATAGTGCATATAAACTTGGGATTTGAAATATGGTTCTTTAATTAGGGTCAATCCTACTCATAATAAACCCTCATTTCCTGCAAAGCATTATTATAGTATAAGGTTCTATGTTCAGAATTATTCCAAGTAACAAAGGAAAGAGAATAAGTGCCTGACCGGGACTTTAACTTGCTATCCTAGTTTAATCATAGATAATCAGTAGTAAAAACTTCCTTTGAAAGAAGAAAACACTGTTCCCCATTAGTTATTTATCTCTCTTCAACTCAAAGCCTAACATTTTACTTGAGTTAATATTATTGGAGCCATTTAGAAATTTTGATTGTACAAATGCTTGGTACATTACCCTAAGGTAGGTAAGAGGTATTTATCTATTGAGTAGGCAGAGATTCAATATAATAATCCCTGAGGTAAACTCTCTTCATAAACAAATTAGAAAAAACAGTGACCTCCAATTTGACATTTCTAGAAACCTGAAGAAAATCTAGGGGGTACTAGAAAAGCAAGGGGGTAATGGGGAACCTCATACCATCTGTTGCCATTCGGTTCTAACACAACGCTAGGGAACTGAAAAGCCAACCCATGTTTTCATCCCATTGAGATCAGCTGGGCACACTGATGCTTTTGAATTTGTCTAGAAACCTGTCACTTCAGGATAATTTCTGAAGACAATGTCTGTTCCCCATTTGGTAGGTGACCTGTTTAATGTTTTCCCTGTGTCTGGGAACTCCTTAGTGTAATTAGCGACCTTTGAACTCCACAACTAATCCTGAGCTATTTTGTATTCCTTACTCATCTTTAAGGCTGGACCTTTCTTTTCTTCAGAGTCCACTGCCACAATTAAAGAAGAAACAGCTGCATTTCAAAGGGATTCCGATTCCAGAAGCTTAATCGTGATTGACATGTTCTTATTCTAAGCTATAAGGCACTCTAAGAGTCCTTTCTTTGGTTAAAACTTCAATCATTTTCTAAAAATTATCTCACTATGGATTTTACTCATTTTCTTTGATAACTATTCTTTGCATTTTTTTAATGTGAAAGATGCTTTGAATTTGCAGTGAACATGAACAACTACTTCAATGAAAGATGTGGATGTTGTCAGTCCTGCTCTAGACACAATATTGCTTTTAGTGCCAAATATGATTATGAAATGTGATATCTATAGTGTGGGTAATTGTTCTCCATTAAACCCAAAAGGTTAAAAAAAGTTTCAAATAACAGAGAATGAATTCTAGAAAAGATGGTTCACGATTTTGGTAAACCCTGTTCTCCATTGTTTCACTAAGCAGTATTTTTTAAATTTTTTGAAGCCAACAATGTAGTAGGTAGGCAACATCCTCACACTGGTCATGTTTTATACTCTAAAGTAATTGAGTCTGTCAACTTTGAAGTAAATAGGCTCATCAGGAATTCTTAGAGTAGTTAAACTTTATTTAAATATTAGCCTATCTCAAAATCATTCTGTCATGGCAACTCAGTATTTCATCTGTTCAAATATTATGGGCTTCTGTGTCATGTGATATTTTTAACAGCAGACTTTTGCACATAGCAAGAATTGCTGATTTTTTTTTGGTTTTTTTTTTGTTACAGTATTGAAAAATACTTAAGAGACATTCATAGATTCCTACACTACTCCTGGGAGGGAGGGAGGTGGAATTAGCATCCAGACCTCTGCAGGAACTGCTGCCACAGCAGAACAGTTGTTCCTAAGACAAAGGTCAAAACAGGGATGTTAATAAACAGTCCTCAGGTTTAAGGGACTTTTTTAGGATTACATCTTAAATTCCAACAAATCAGATTTAGGAGTTACTGAAAGTGAAATTGATCCATCCCTCATCCAAACTTTGCAATACTTTCCTGTTCTGACATCATTTAGATAGTTAGCTGCATTATCAGATTAGAAACCATTGTACCCGGCTGCTGAAAGGAAACGGAGGCAAAAAGCTAAACATGGGATGAATTCTGAACCTTTTAACCTGGCTGAAGTATGCTGGTCCCTGTTATGCAAATACCTTCAATCCTTTGCTAAGTTCTGTGGAAATAATTTTGTTGAATGACAGGTTTATTCAGCAAGGATTCAGTTGGTGATTAATCCCCCTTTGATCTAGGGTATTTCACTTAACTACCAGTTACCTCGTTCTGACAAAGTGCAACTGAGATTAGGGAGATCACTAGAACACTACCAGCATGTGCATTTATTCTCTATAACCTCTTAAAGCAAGGGCCAAGAATGCAATTTATTTTCAGTATTTGAAGATGTAAAGTCCTGTCTGGTAAGTTAGAAAGTCAATTGAATACCAAATGAAGTTTATTTCTTACGTAATAGAACAAACATTTCTTTTTTGCTTTACTTAACAATGCTATTAAGAATCATAGGTTTTGAAGAAAGAAAAAACAAAAGACTACATTCCGAGTATGGCTTCTAGTTTTGTTTCATGTACTAGAGTATATTCTTACTAGCCCCCAGATAATCCAAGAATCAAGGAGTGGCCACAACTTAGGTTAAGAAATTGCTTCTATTTTATTAAACTGCACAGTTTCTTCTCCCCTCCCCAGCCATTCCCCACCCCCACTAGAAAATAAGCTGTGTATACAGAAATCCAGTTAGGGAAACATAATACTTATTGATCCATCTTGTTAACTTTTCCTTTCTTGAGGAAATAGAGCATAAATTCTCATTTAAAAAAAAAAACTGCATGATTTTCCCATAAAAAATCATATCATTACCAAAAATATTTCGAGG